CCTAACGAGGGGCTGCCGGCTCGGTCTGCCATGCGCGTAAAGGTCCTTCGGGTGTAATAAAAATAAGCGCAGTCTCTTCATCTGCAAGTTCATTGGGCATGACACCGTGCCCGTTGTTTCTTGGGGCTTTTCTTTCTGCTGATTCCCTGTGAAAGCACAAGAACGTCTGACGGTACAAGGAGTGTTCAGAGGAGGCAAAGTTGATGTACTGAGAATCAGGAAGATGGTGGAGCAGAGACATCCCAAATGAGAAGCCATCAGTTAGAAGAGCTAAGCATAGGTTGACTGAGAAGCTGGGCTGAACAGCTGTGGAAGCACTGGAGTTTGGAAGCCCACAAGCAGTGGAACAACACAAAGGACTGAGCTGCAAATGCCAGCTGCTGTTGCATACGTTCCCACAGTGGCCTGTGGGCTTTTATGTGAATATATGTGTTGTTGCGATTTACTTTTAGACTGCCTGTATAATTACTGTGACTGTATTTCACGTGTTTATTAAAGATGTCGTTTGGAAACAATTCTGATTTCTTCTAACGTTTTTCTTTTTAGAATATTGAATACATGTTCGGCATTGTTGGTATTCCAGTCACTGAAATTGCAATTGCAGCCCAAGCAGTTGGAATAAAATATGTAGGAATGAGAAATGAACAAGCTGTAAGTACATGTCTGTAGGAGGACCAATTCTTTCTTTTAACTGTTTTACAATAGAATGAAATCCAATTTATTTTTTCTTACTAGAAAGAATGTGATCTCTGAACATTCCTGTAAAGAACTGTAGAGAAGCAGTTACTGTCGTTCTGGACTAAGGAAGAGCATTGGTGGATTGGGTTGAGTGTTTCTTTTTGCCCTTCTTTTCCCAGTTCCATTTTTAAGTGCCACCCTCCTTTTCTAATAAGGGAATTGCATTTTTTTTTCATTTTTAGGTGCCTTTCCCCAGTAAGGGAGAGAAGACAGGATAAAAATAGGGAGAAAAATAATTTGAACAAAGCATTCCAATAAAGAAAGAAAAAATGATCAATTTTGTCTCCAAGTCATGTATTGTCAGGTTTTATCTGCCACCTTTTGGGATGCTCATCTGGGTTCTTATTTTTCTGTAGTTTTCCATAGACTTTCCAATATATGTCTCCCTTAAATTTTTTTACTGTCATTTTCTTCTGCTGATACCTTCTCTTCTGAATTAGGACATTATCATTCTCTCTCTAATTGGTAGTATTTCTTTTTTAGGAATTTTTTTAGCTACTGTTTTCTTTTCTGTTTAGAAGGCTTTTTTTTTGCTCAAGAGCTTTTTCCTACAGGCCTAAGAAGGTAGGTTTTTTTTCCCTTGTCTCTGTTCTGTTCTTGCAGTGTCCAAAGAGGAAGGTTTTGCTGCTGATAAACTTGACTGTTTTCAATAACTAAAATACCTTTTTTTCCTTAACTGTGTTTTAAAAGCTTACCAAACAGCAAACTATAGAAAGTTAAAATGCTTCTGAATGCTCAAAATCCAGCATGAATATACACTTAGGCAGTCTTAACTGACTATATTTCAGCTTTGTTGTCTAGGTATCAGAAAGTAGACTCAAGCTCACTAGCATTTTGATACTGTGCCACTAGTTTTTGATTTTTTTGGTTTTCCCCAGTGGTAGCTCTTGAAGCATTTGGTAGTTTTTCAGGTGGTGTGAGGTTAAATATAGTAATTTCAGGTTTATACCTCATTTTCAAGGATTGCTATACAAGCTGGCTAGCTGACCGCTAGCAAATGGACCATCAGCTTTCCATACTCTGAGTTGCTCTACTACATTTGTCAATTTTCCATAACTAATGCCAACAAATAAATAAATTGCTTGATTATTACCTCATCAGGAGATTTTTCTTGTGTTTCAACTTGTTTATGGATCCTGTCTCTCTATAGATGCTATTAATTACATTTTTACAACTTTTACAAGGCTCTTCTAATATTCTGGGCCTGCAAAGTGTTCAGATACCTGTATTTTGCAGCAGTGTTCTTTTTCTATCATGTAGTTCATAGCCTTTGTAGATTGTCCCACAGAGATGTCAGTAAAGTATTATAATAGTAGTTCTCCTGAATCAGGCAGTCACAAGCTGTATGTTTTTTCTGTCTAATTATTATACCCATATATTGGAATGTGAGAATTTACAGAGGAATGCATGTCTCTAGATGGGAAATTTGTAACATGTGAGAGGAGCAGTGTATACAAATATGTTTAAAAGGTGTATTTGATTCTTTTGAAGGACTGGGAATTCAAAACTGTCTTTACATTCCTGTAGGCCATTTAGCAAGTATTCTAGTTTTAGCTTTGGTTATTAATGTGATTAAAATTAATTTGCTCGTGTGTCTGTAGTTAAGAGAGGAGATTGCTTTGCACTGCCAAATGAGATGCTGTCCTATTTTTCACTCTTTACTAGACTCTTTTCTGTTAGAGTGAAGAAGACAAACATTCTGCTGTGTAAATGGGGAGATACTTTTGCTTAAGGGAATAGCAATGACATGACAACTTGTTTTAACATCAAAATGTCAGGGTTTCTCTTCTTTGGGGAGTGGAAAAGGATGAGCAAAGATATATCTTGTAGTGGGTTTTGGTTTGTTCTCTGTCCTCAGTGAAGACATAGAGTAATTGCTTGGCATAGGAGAAGGTAAAAGGTTATACACAGTATATTCAAGATGCACTTAATATTTACACACTTCATAGTTTTAATTGTCTAAGTTTTAGTTGTGTGGTCTGGCTGTGGAGGATGTGTATACAGCTGCTTCCTTTTTATTTATTTATTGGTGAAGGCAGCTGTATATGATCTGAGTTACATGGAAAACAAAGTGGTTTTTCTTTCCACAGGTTGAGTTTCTGCTGCATTTCAGGGCCAGATGTAGCAAAAGCCCGTAAAACTGCAGAATAAACTGTTTAACTAGAAAGACCAGTTTAAAGCATGAAGTTAAAAGCTAAGTAGTGCTACCAGTATCCATTAGCTTATCTCCTGCAGCTTGTAACATGGCGTAAGTTTGCTAGAAGCTGTTTAACCTGTGTCCTGTGTGCCCCTTGAATGCCAAATAGTTGTGTCGCAACTCAATAGGGGCGTGCGTTTTGTGTATCTGTCCCTGGGTAATTAGAGATGGCTGTGATTGTGCAGAAGATTGATAACCCAGGTCAGCTTGAAACTTCAAAAAAACTATTTACTAGATTGTTATTCATGAACAACACAAGCTGCTGATGTTTAGTTCTTAATCTATAACAATAATTATCACTACATATTCAAAGCAATCTCTTCCTAATAATCGTATCCTAAGTTAGTCATGAGTATGTAATATTCTGGAGCTGGTACAGCGTAGTTAGCGTGGATGGTGCTAACTGTCCAGGGAATCAGGCTCGAGAACCTTTCAACAGGGGAAGCTGGAGGCAAAGTGGACATCTTTTTTCTCCACCTCTCAGATTAAAGATCTCTTTTTATAAGATGCTTGGTCTCTGAGCAGACCTTACCCCCTGGTCTCTGTGCCTGGACTATGGCCTGTGCGGTGCTGGGTGTGTGTTACTTTCCCAGCCCAAGACAGGTGCCTTATCCTGTTGCACATCTGTTGGTGGTTTTTTGGTTTTTTTGTTCTGGGTGGTTTGGGTTGGGTTCCCCCCACCCCCTCCCCTTTCTTAGCTGTTGCTGCTTTTCCTGATGCAAAAGCAGTGTCTTCCCAGCTCTCAAAGCTTTTTCAGTGACCAGTAGTTGGCCATCAGCAAGTGGCTTATTATTCTGGGACTGCTGGTTTAAACCTGTGTCCAGATTTTCGAGTCCCGCACTTAAGCTGTATGTCACAACAAAAGACATCATCTACCAAGCTCAGGTTCATACAGCAAGTTCTCGTAACAAGCTGATCACAAGCCCTACAGGAACATTTAATATTAGGTACGACTAACAACAAGGGCTTCAGGCCTGCTCCTAGGTGTGGCAGTGCTATTTTAACTGGGTCACTGGGTACAAAAATGCTTAACTGTTGTTTACTAGCTATGTTGTATTAGTTTGCTTATGTTTGGGTTGAAGGTGGACTAATTTAATTAAACCCTGCTTAGTGTGCTGCTTCTTGTATGGGAGCAACAGGCATCTGCTTCGGCTGCAGTTGAAATCCAGCGCTCGTGGATGGCAGTGAACTTTGAGTTCAGTGCCTGCATCTGGAGCTCCTGCATTTCTTCCTAATATTGGTTGTGGGTTTGGTGGTCATTGGCATTTTATATACCTACGTCCTTCTTGCCTGAGGAAAGAGGACATGGTTTCAGCTGATCGATGGTGGTGTGACCTTAACAGATAATACAAGTGCAATTACTCATATTTCAGTGGTGGGGGTGCAAGTTTCATAAGTAAAATTGGTTTTTGTTCTTACTGTTCACACACACACAAAAAATCTTTTAAGTATACCTTCAAGACTGTTTACGATCTCTCCTTGCAGAATGAAGCAGAAAAAGTTTCAATGGCAATGACTGTACGTGAACCCAAATTCTATGTGCTGCTTTCTTTTGCCGCTTGGTTCTAAAAAATGGTTGCCATGGAAACTCAACACGATGCTTGGAGCTCCATTAACAAGACTTTTAGTAACACCTACTCTAAATATTTCAAAACTTTTGCCACAGATAATGTCATCAAATTGTTATCTAATTCTTGAATATTAGCAACATTTTTCTTCTCTGTGTCAGAGGCTTATGAAAAGCAGAAGAGATTTTTCTTGTCAATGTACTTTTTTGTCAACAATTTCCTATCCTAATGCTGCAAAGAAAGTAAGTGCTGCTTGTTATCCCTCTACTAAGCCCCATGTTCTTCTCAAAGAGTTGGTCTCTATCTGTAGGAGCATGAGGATATTAAAGACAGTTTCTCCTTCTGTGTTTTCACTCATTTAAGCTGAAGTTGCTAACATGCTGTGTTACCTAGAGTTATTCATAGATTTGAGGAAAATATTTAGTAGCTTTGTAAAGTTTTAGAATGAGCTTTTTTGTTACTTATTCTTCTTGCCACAACAGTACTCAAATAAAACTCAAAACGAAAATGCCAACTCTATTTCAAAATGAAAGAGGCAGGCTGTAAGGCCAGAAGCTTACTTTAAAAAAAAAAAAAAAAAAATTGCAAAATGGCTTTTTTTCTGTGAAGTGTTAGAACTTGCTGAATTCAAGACAAAAGCATAAGAATACGAGAGAGGGCATTTGCACTGTCACATGTGTGAATCCCTTGGTGTTCTTGGTTTGCCTATAAGCTTCTCTTTCTATTTATCACATACTATTTTGTTGCCAGGTGAACTTTATATCTGAGTATTTGATATTATTACAGGAATAGCATAAAAACATAGTCTGTAATAATGCTGCTGCTAAGCTATGTTAACACATTGTAGGCATTACTTTTGTGAAAATTATTAAAAATGCAATTTTTCTTTAAGGTGTCGAAGTAGCTAAAGTGAAGTGTGATACCAGAAGTGGAGTGAGAAGTACTTAAGCATCTCAGCTTGTAAAGGCAGTCCCTAATCTTCTAATGAGCCTCTCCAGCATGTGATTTCAACCTTTTGCTTAATTTCTGAAATACCATGAGTCATGCCAGTGATGGCTGGGTTTCTGTTTGTTGTCTTGCTCTTGTAAATCCCTCTTCCATGTTTGTCTAGAAGGCAGAAGTTTTTTGTGCTGTTCTGTTCCTTTTGCTTCCCTGCTTATAGGGGTTTTCTTTTATGTTGTTTTTTTTTTGTCATACATATTCCTAATGTAATATCCTGCAACAACAGAAGTCTGAAATGTGGAGATCAGTTTTGAGACTTTTTATATAAGCCTTCATGAACATGCCTTGTGATGGGGAGGGTGAAGGGGTGCTTCTACTGACATTTAAGCTCTAATGATCAGGGCAAAATCTGTGCCTGCTTATTTTCGGTATTTTTGTTAAAAGTTATGTAGAAGATAGCACGAAATGTGTATATATAATAATAACTGTGTAATTAACTCCAGTATTTTCAACAGGCGTGTTATGCTGCGTCTGCTGTTGGATATTTGACTGGCAGGTACATTCCATATTTATTAATATTTATAATAACTCATTATTAATTGTAGTAGACTCAACAGAAGCTAGGAATGTTCTGTTTTGGAGCTATGTGTTTTCAGTGTGTGCGGATGTAGGGTGTAGGGCAGTTGAAATGGAACATGAATTTTAGAATAATTGTCAATAACAGTTGTCAATATTTCTGTTGCTATGACCTGGGGCAGGAACAAGATGGTTTTTTTTCTGGTATGTGAAGAGTCTGTAAAGCTACTAAAGCTCAGTAGTTAAGAGTTGTCATTTTTTATCTCATCACCTGGAATAACAAGTGCCTCTGCCTGAATTAAGTTGTAATAAAATTTGTGTTGAATCAGATGCGATTGTGAGCTTTCTTCAATGATATTTAGTGCTAAAGTGGAGTTGAGAACTACAGACACAGGTGGCTTACCACATTCCATATAGATGCTAGATGGTGGAGTAAATACAATAAAAGAAGGTAAGGAGCTGTGTTATGATGAGCCTGTGTATGTTGCAGACCTCTGTGTGAGTGGCACGTAACGACTGTTCACTTGCTATTTCAGTGGGGTTGGTACAGCTAAATGATTTCCGATTCCCACGTCTGTCTTTAGGCCTTCATACAAACCCCTTGCCATCCATGCATTTTGATGACGTGAATAAAACTTTAAGGTTTTATGTTTCAGCATCTTACTAGTTTTTGTTGGCAATTTATTCTGTGTTCATTGTGCTCACTTTCCTTTTCTGTATCTTTCTTTTTTTTTGTTTGTTTTTCTCTAGACCAGGAGTATGCCTTGTAGTGTCCGGTCCAGGTTTTTTACATGCCCTTGGTGGGATGGCAAATGCAACCATGAACTGCTGGTAATTTAACTACATTTTCCCTTTAAAATTCTCATAATTGTTTGCTGTTATTTGTTGCAGATGTTGAGCTCTGCAGTATTTGGTAGAGGGCTTTTTTTTTTTCCCCCTTACTTGTGGGTAATGAGAAGGGAATTCTTCCTTTATCAACTCTAAAAATAGTTTAGCTTAATTTCTTATATTCTCATGGATAAAATTCTCCTTTTTGTCCTACCCCATTATGCACGTATTGGAAAATCTGTCAGTATACCTGCTTGTATGGATACATATGAAAACAAAGTCAATACTCAGCCTGTAATGCTTTATTGATCATACAGAGTTTTGGAGTTAGTTTCTAAATTTGAATCCACATTGCCTTTGAATTACTGTATTTCATATGTGAACAAATTGACAACTGCATTGTTAAAATCTATATTTGCTCCCCACACAGACATTTAGAGAAGTAATTAAGTGTTGAGTTACATTGTGTACAGAGTAATAGCATTTACTCCCACAAGCCTTTGCTGAGACGTGGCGCCTTTAGCTGGTCTGCCACTGAGCGCTGCGCAGAAAGCTGTGAGAGGCGTTCGGAGTAGAAGCTCTGGTAATGCCGAGCACACGTGGTCTGGACCATTAGATTAGCAGTGGCTGATGGACAAGGGAAGCTCAATAATGGGAACGCTAACAAATCAAGTCTCTGACACGTTGAAAAAAGACCCGTAGTGTTCAAATTCTTTAAGAAATGTGGTATTGACTAAAGTTCTGCTGTCCCTGTGTGACCTTAGGTTAAAAAACAGTTTGTATGAAAACCTTGCTTTTGAACAGAGATGCGTTTGTTTATAAGAAAGAAGCATTCGTGGCACTTACAGATTTGCAGGAGACATTCTGTTTTCTCACAAACTTATTTTTGTCTGAGATAGATCAAGTCAGGTAAACAGACCTTGCATACATCTGTACTTCTGGCAAAAGATGAAGGGAATGACTTACCTAGTTTGGTGCAAGATTTGACAATATAGTAAGAAGGTCGGTTTTCACTGATCAAACCACAGTGTTTGCCCAGTGATTTTTTTTCTTTCATTGGTCACATCAGGCTTGCCTTTTGCCTGCGATGTGCCAAAAGGAGAGAAGTAAGCATCTGTGAACCCTAAATTTAGCCTAATGAAACTACTTTTCCGTGATTCCTTCATTAGTAGACACTTCCAATGAATGCTTGAGAACCCCAGACATGCTTTCACATTTACTTTTGGCTGGTGTTACCACTGTAAGAAAGGCTGCTATGCTTTGAAGAGGAGGACTAGGGATTTTTCTGTTGAGTTAGCTAATGAGCTTTCTAGCCTGTTTCACTAGACAGCAGCACGAATACTTGGGCAGGCACTACAGAGGAGGAGTGTTACAGGGGAAGAGCAGGAGTAGCCCAAGCAAAGGAAAGGAGATGAAAATACGATACACGTTGAGGGGTTTGATTACACCGATCTAATACAGGCTGCTGCATAAGGGGACGCTGGCCCATGTCATCTCCACACCTTTCTCCTGGCCGTGTGCTCCTGCTGCTTCCCCTCTCAACCGCTCTGGCACGTGTCTGCTCCAACAGTCACATTCAGCTCATTACTCTGGCACAAAGCCAGCCCAGCAAAAATCAGTAAATAATGTCATGTCAGATAAGCACCGAGCAGCTAGGGAAGGGATTATGCAGCTGGGAGCAGAAGTTGGTGGTGCCTTTACCTTTCTGTGGCAACAAGGTGCCGATTTGTAGGGCAAGGTTAGCTGTCATGGGATCTCCCAGGTGTCATGCGGTTCCGTGACATTGCGCCTGGCATTGCTAACGTGCTGCGGTGGCTGAGCTTTGGCCCGTTTCTCACAGAAGTAAGCTAACAGTTGAGCTGACCCTGCTGGTTCTGACTTTAAATAACTCAGGCTAAGTGACAGTGGTTAAAGCTCAGTCTGAGTTGTCCTCCTTGGGCCTGGAGACCCATTTTTCTGATTCTGCTCTGTTTCAGTCTCTTCAGGTGAAAGAAGCCTATTCTGTATCAACTGGAAGAAAGTGAGGCAGTCTGACGGCACAATTTGCTACCAGTTGTGCTTTTAGATTTTATTGCCTGAGCACAGGTTGGCTGAGCAGAAGAGCTTTTGGTTTACCCTGGAAGCCTGTCATAGCGAGCTCTTGGACGTGTAAATCTAACCAACTAGGTAGCTAATGAGGCTCTGGTAAACTACATTTCCGAGGGTAAAACTTTTTGATATTTCGTGTTAAAAATTACCTACCATGCTGCCTTCTGTCCTGGCTCATTCTGAGCGTTTTGTATCTCAGTTTGGCCATGAGAATAGACTCTAAAGAAGAGTTTGCACTATTTGGGAAGATTTCAGTGTGCAGTAGTGTAGTGAAATACCATGCTTTTTACCTGAAGTTGCAGTTGAGATTTTTTCAGTTTACTGAAGTTGTTCTGCAAATCCATGAGGCTTGCTATTCTCATTAGCTTCATTATAGTCGATGTTCTTCCTGCCTCACTGTTGGTTTTCGCTTAATTTATAAGCACTGCTCTTTAAAATGTCTACAGTATTGGGACAGTAGTAAAATGATTTCATTGGGGAAAAAAACTTTTTGGTTACAGTTACGTAAACTTCAAAAGCAGAACCAAATCTTTTCAAGACATAGCTGTTGGAGTTGGCTTTCTTGAGAGTACAGCATTTTCCTAATTATATTTTAGTAATGGGAAGTAGTATTTATTTTGTCAAAACGTTTAAATAAATTTGAACAAGATAAGTGAAAGGAACATAGGGTTTGTCACTGTGAAACAGGCTGGTTATATATGGATAGTCGTAATTATTTTGCTGAGGGAAGAGAATCAGCAGAATAAAATATCTAGAGCATACACCAAATGCATTTGTCCGTAAGGATTTTTCACAAAGGTAAGATACAGCCTGAAATTCTCGTCTCACTGTGTCAGGGGATTAGAACTGAGATTTTTTGATTTGTGGCAGAGAAATGGCCTGGTTATGAAGCTTGGATCTAGATACACATTTCGCCAAATCTTATGGGTGATTAAATTTAGGATTATGCATTGAGCATGCTGCAAATGTTTCAGCTTAATACATTGTGTAGATAAATGCAGACAAAGGAAAGGCCATATATGAAGAGAAATTGTTTAGGAGAAAAAGCCTAGAAAGCTATTGACCCAATATTTCAATTTAGTGTGGATGAATGAGCAGATTGGCAAGATAGCTTTCTTTTATTGACTCAGCATTTATCATTTTAAGGAGTTTAACCTACAAACTGAATAAAGGACCAGTTTTTATTCACTGTAGCAAATTAATGTATTGTATTTTGTGGAAAAGATAATAAAAATGTGCTCCTGTGGAATGTATAATCCGTATGGTAAATTAATGCTGCCTTTCTCACATAGCCATGAACTCATGTAAAAACAGTACTGCTTGTAGGCATGCTGCTTTTTTTGTTCATCTCTTTGGTCTTTGGGGTTTTTTTGCTGAAAACTGAATGCAGGGACAAGTGCTGTTTGACAACTGTCTAACTTCTGCTGTGTTCCAAATTGTATACAAAGAAAATCTAATCTTTCTGAAGAGATTGTTTCCGACTGTGTTTCTTAGTTCTAGTGTTTGTGCATGTTATAGTGCCTCTTATGAACAAACTTCTTAATAATTTATAGATCAATCAGTACTTTTTATATTAGCTGTTATCATTCGTCTCAAACCACCTTGTCACCCATATTATCAAACTTGAATGAAAGTTGCTAGCAATATGACTTGGTTTTAGAATTTTTATGCTAGATGCAAGTCACTTGATACGGCCAGACTGTCCTAATATTAGTGACTCAAATGCTGCGAGGAAGTCTACCAGCTGACACACTAGTATTTAGAATCCACTCCTGTATTGTACTGGACACTTCATATTCCTGTTGAGATCTGTGGGTGCGGAAGGTGCACAGCATCCTAAGAGCAGTGGGGTTTGACCATAAAGAGAGGTTACAGATGTGATTGCAGTTATTAAAAAAAAATACATATATGCTTAAGGTTGTTTTCTTATTTGTTTGTTTTAAAATATACTTTTCTAGGCCTTTGATTGTTATTGGAGGTTCTTCTGACAGAAATCAGGAAACCATGGGAGCTTTCCAAGAATTCCCACAGGTACACAGACATACAGTATTCTACAGAAGGGTTTCAGTTAAATGATTGATGTTGTTTCTTCATTTGTGTAGAAATAACAATGCCAACATTTCCTAACAGATCTTACAATGCTGTGGATTTGCTCCATCTACTGGTTTAAAATTGGTGTTGTGTAAATACAGCAGATTACTTGGAATGTCTGCCCATGCTCGTGTTAGAATTAATGCTCTGATTTAGGTTCTCAACTGGTATGAATTGCCTTTGTCTGTTCTGAGGTGCAAGAAAGCAAAATAAATTTTCCAAGATGAGAAGCACCACTTTCTGGAGGGGAAGATACACTTATGCACTCAGGGGAATGAGTCTGGCTTTGACAGTTTCCACCAGCTGAGGAATTGTGTTTTTCTGTGTGGGAATTTTCAGCTTGTTGCTTTCTTTTGGTATTTCTTCAATTTTATTCGTGTTGAAATGAGATGGAAATTAGCAAATTACTTCAATAAATCAATGTAATGGTTATATGCATTTATTCAGGTTGAAGCTGGTAGGCTGCACAA